TCTAGTTCTTGTTCTTCTTTATGCGTTTCTTGTATATAATGGCAAAATTAAAATACATTTAATTATTTGTGCTCAGTAGGCACGTGATGTAGCAAGGAACGGCGCGCAACGACAGGAAAAGGACGCTGAATATGCACCCTAAAATACGACCGCACGCTGCCCGATCAGCTCTCGTTTCTGGACCACGCACCCCAAGACGGACTTCTGACGTCATCTGGTCCCTTAAGCTCAGTGGTCCCCATATTAAGCTGCTACAGTCCTGGTCAGCATTCTTTTGACTAACTTTCCACATGCTTGCCTTATATATATTATGCAATGCCTAATTTTTTTTTTTTTTTTGGTAAACCCGGGACAAGAAGTTCATATATTAAAAAACAGTGTTCAAAGTACAATAAATCTGTGGGAAGGAAAGAAACTAATCAACAAAAAACTATCAAAATTTACACAAAGATAATAACAACCAAATGGCATCAAAGGGAAAAAGACAATCCGAAGACTCAGAAATAAGGCCAACTCACAATCATCTAGAAAAAAAAAAAAACAGATGAGATCACATAATGCCCAGGCTGAAGCACCGATTGCTCGTTATAATCGAGAGAGACCCATGCAAATTGAATTAGAAACTGGCCATCACAGCACCTCCAGCCTGCATAAAGAAAAATCACACGAACGAGCCAGGTTGCCCCATAGGCCATCCATGGCTCAAAGAGACTGGCCTTGGTCATCATCGTCTGAATGTCCAGCAACCCCCAGCAATGCCAACTGTTGTCTTTGTAGTATACCCGACAAATGATAGGATGATAATCCACAAACATACTAGATCGGGGCATAAGGAAAAAATGGCCAAAATCCCAAAAAACATCTTCCTAGGTCTGAAGAGTAAAGAAGAACAAAAAATGGGCCAAAAAAAGTACAGTCCCGAAGATAGAGAACACATCCAGCCAAAAAAGAACTACATGCGGCCTTGAAGCTGTAAATAAACCACTAGCACAACAGGTATACCAGTAGAACTAAATGCCCGGGAACCTCTGCAGTATTAAATTTCTATTTTTCCATTTTGATACTTTGAATCCGATAGCCTCCTTAATATTACAAATGATCTTAAGCACATTGTTTCTCACAGAAGAGAAACGTCGTTTGTTTCTTTCTCTCCAGATATGGTAAATAGTACAACTTATAATAAAAAAAACAAAGATCCTTTTTTGTTTTACTATAACACACAGAATTCTCATAGAATTCAAATAACTGAAGTAAATTGGGTCTAAGCAAAAAAGCCATTAAGATCCGATAAAACAGACTTGAGTATATAAAAGGAAAGATCACATGCAAAATATAAATGGGAATGAGTCTCCATATTACCAGAGCACAAAGAGCAGTTCATAGGCACCTGGATCCCTATAAAAATTAGGTTATAAGCAGTTTTTAGTTCGCCAATCACAGCCATCTAGGTGAAACAAGCAAATTTGAGCGCATGATTTTTGTGACAGATAGAGGAATGCCAATCTACCTTAGGTATAGTAGAATGAAATAGCTCGGTAAAGTTTTTAAATTTCCACATTGAAGAATCATTCCAAAGTATCTCATTTTTTTCTGTAAAGTTCATAGCCACAATGGAGTTAGACATAATCGTTGGAATAGAGGTTGGCAAAGGCCAAATGCCATTGATAATGAAATCTCCAACCTGCTTATCATCAAATCCTTGGTAGTTAAAAGCCTCAGAAATCGATCTCCCATTGTACCAAGGATCCCACAAGAAGGAAAAATCACTTAATTGAGACACAAAGAAAGAGATCACCTCCTTAATCCTGAAGGCAGCATTAGAAATTCTATGCCAGAACTTGGAGGCAGTAGGAGAGGGAGGTTTCCAAGGGGTGGTGTATTTGGCTTTGTACCAGCAACTTAAGAGATTTTGAGAGTTATAAAATCTGTCAATAATGGAACAACAAACACCAAAATAAAGAGCATCTAAAGAAGGTATACCGAGCCCACCAACAGCTTTAGGTAGGGTAACTTTGGACCAATAAATAAGATGCAACTTTCTATCCACCAGATTGTTGTGGAATAAGAATCTCGAACATAGCTTATTAATAGTCGCACAACAACCCTTGGGTATAATAGAACCTCTGATCCAGCAAGCTATGGTGTTGGAGATGGTAAATTTAAGGAATTGGACCCTACCTGCAAAAAGAAAGAAACTTGTTTTTCCAACCAGCAAGTAGAGCAGTAATTTTACTCAGTAGTGGTTGGAAGTGAGAAGATTTAAGTCTTTTTGGGGAGATGGGGAGACCCAAATAGGTGAGGTAATAATTGACATGTTGGATACCAAGCTCGTCACAAATAACTTAATTTTCAATATCACTTTTAGAGAAGATAATAGCACTTTTATTGGCATTAATGTGGAGGCCAGATAAAGAGCCAAAAAAGTGTAAATATCTTTTAAGATGAACACATTATCTCTAGAAGAATCTCCAACTATCAAAAGATCATCAGCATACATCAAATGATTGATGTAAAAGTCTTTGCAATTGATACCTTGAAAGCTGAAGGAGTCAGAATTGTTGGTGAGAATATTGGATAAGCCATCCATAACAATGCAGAATAACAAAGGAGAAAGGGGGCAACCTTGTCGTAGACCAGTAGTAGATTTAAAGAAGCCCTTAAGAGAACCATTAAGACAAACAGAGAAATAAACATTAGTAATGCAACCTTTGATCCAAGCCACAAAAACTTTCGGGAATCCCTTTTGAAGCAATCTATCAATAAGGAAATCCCTAGAAACAGAGTCAAATGCCTTTTTAATGTCCAACTTAGCACATAATTTTTTATTGGAACCCTTGAAATCTCTAAGAATTTCGGATGCAATGATGATGTTATTCGTAGAGCATCTATTTGCAATAAAATCAGATTGGCTTTCATGAACAATAAAGGGAAGAACCAGTTTCATTATATTAGCAATGATTTTAGCCACTATTTTGCTTGCAAAGTGATAATGGCCTAAAATCATTGATGTTTGAAGCATGAGAGCACTTAGGGATTAAAGCAATAGACGTCGCCTTAACCCCTTTAGGAAGAGAACCAGTAGTAAAAAAATTGTTTACCGCATTGAAGGCTTGCATCCCAAGAAGATGCCAAGATTTTCTATAAAACGCATAGGTAAACCCGTCATGACCAGGTGTTGTGTTCTCATTCCCATCAAAAACCGTTGTTTTCACTTCCCCAAAAGTTAAAGGAGCCACCAATATGTCATTAAAATGAGAAGGAACCAAATTTCCAAGAGGAATTTCCAAAGGCAAAACAAGATTGGAGTGGGTAGTGTTAAACAAGCCCTCAAAATGTTTAACAATAGCATTAGAAATGTCACTAAAATTGGTAAAATGCCCATCAGTAGTAGTAATCTGGCCCATATAAAACGACAACTTCTCTTTAGCTCCATATAAAATATATAAGGCAGCAAGACGATAAATATTATAGAGTTTAGGGTCTCAGCCATGAGAATAAGGCTTTCTTTGGGATGACTTTCTTGTTGCTTCTTAAATCAATTTTTTAGTCCAAAATTTTTAATTTTTATACTAAAAACTATTTTAACAAACAATAAAAAAAGCTGTACCAAACCAAGCCTAAATGATTAATTGATTCTGGATGAGAATTGCAGAAAAAATAAACCTTTTGGACATAAATATTAAAGCATTTAAGCACAATAGCAATTTTTTAATATTATGGCATTCAAATAGAAATGTATGTTTTTTTTTCTCCCAGCAGTAGCCAAGCAAAAGCTATCCAGCCTATCCTCTTATATAATTTATATTATAATTTATTTGAAATAATTTTTATTCAGGTAAATTGATTAGTTTCGTTCAAATTTTAATTTGATTTTATCTAAATTTGAGAATTTGTACTAAATATATTATATATTGTTTAATTTAGAATTGAGATTTGAAATTAAATAGTTTATCATCTATTTAATTTTTAATAATACAGCTCATTAGTCCACACACCATAAGAAAAAGGAATGCTAATAAAAATATCAACAGTTATGGGGTTGATAACCATAACTATTGACTTCGATATGATACAAAAAAAAACTAACAAAAAATATATTCATGTTTACAGTTAACCAAAATCAAGCATTCTCTTATTTTCTTAGGCTTCTTTTCGAACGGCTTTCTTAAACATTCCCTAAAACTCGTATCAAAATCTATTGATTCACACAGCTCACCTTGGCTTGTTAGTTGAGAGCTTATACTTCCAACTAAGAGATTTTGGGTTCAATTTTTTGTGTATGCGTTGTGTGTGTGCGTTTGTCTTAAATGACCTAAATGTCTCAAAAAAAAAAATCTATTGATTCTCTTTATATGACCACAAACATAGATGAACATAGCTAAATCAAAGTTATTCTTTCTTAATTTTTTATTCTTTTTCTTGTTAATTCTCTTACTCTGGTTTTTTATTGCTCTCAAGCTTACACCTTTTACCAACATTTTTTTTTTTTACTTCTTTTGCTCCAACACAAATCACAATCATTCCTTGACTGTTCCCTCCAAAAGTTTTATCAAACACAATGAAATTATCCAAAAAATCTCCCTTTCCAAACCCTCGACCATCTGAACTTACTGGATCTTACCTGCATTAGTAACAGCTTTCAGAGAATATATATAATCTAATGTAGAACAAACTCATTTTCATCCAAAGATAAAAAAGAAAGAAAGAAAGAACATCAAAAGCTGGAAAAATTATTCTGTGCAGATCTCAAATGGGGTTCAAAGACCAACTAAAATATGTCACATTACTTTTTTGTTCGGTACTGATACTCGGTACCACTGTGTACCAAATGATGTGACATGTTCGGTCTCCGAATGCTGAGACAAAAGGATGGTCCTTGGCCAAAATTGTTAACTCCACAAAAAACAGTTGAAACTGTACCAAATTGGCCAAAACTCAACCATTATTATAACTTATAACAAAAGAATGAAAGTGGACATCAAAGGTGAACGCAGAGACTATTAAAGCTACAAAAAAGTGGAGAAATCTGAATTTCTATGACAGGGCCGAAGCGAGTTTGAAAACCTTCATTTCATGAACCATTAATACCAATGAAAAACAACTCTATATTACAGAAAGAAGGTGCAAAAGGCAAGCAAGCAGTTAGCAGTGGGAGCTAAAGCAAATGGACAAATACACACGTAGATGGAGGACAAGTGAACATTCAAAATTTTGAGTCATAAAAAGAAATGCAGGTGAAGGAGTGAAACTGAAGGACGATTGTCAAAGAAGCCTACTTCTGAAATTTCTGGTGGTGGCTTTGTACGTCCTTACAAGCAAACCAACTCCTATGCCAACGCCAAGACAGATACCAAGGCCAAGTCCTACACCCACTCTAACACCAGCATTGAACCATGTTAGTTCCCCATCCTCTCCTTCCATGTATTCTGATCCTGTGAATATACTGTTGTAGTCAATGTCCACATCATTTTCTGGTGCAAAGCCTTCATATTCAACCAACTGCAGAAAAAACTCGTAATATTAGAAGAAAGAAAATTTTACATGTGCTACGTTTAAACAAAATTAAGGTTTCATTTGGGACTACTTTTTTACTGGTCCTTGAAGCAGCTTTTTAGTATAAAAATTAAATTTTTTTTACTAGAAAATTGTTTTAAAAAGCAGTAAAAAGGCGTCCCAAACGAAGCTTAAGATCTTCTTCAAGTCCTATAATCCATTATTTTTAAATCAACAACAGCAGTTTCTTAAGCTGAAATTCTTTGGAGGGTAAGTTGCATCAATTTTTTTTATATATTTTATGTGCACTGTAGGCCTCTTGCATCCTTTTCATGAATGCTTAATAACAGCAGACCATGGCGTAGGAACTTGTGAGGAATCTCATTAAACATTTTGGAGAATAGGTAAAACTTAATTCATACACTAAAAGAGAAAAAAATAATAATAAAGCATAAACGAAGATCAACACAAAAAAATAATTTTTTTTATAGGCTCACCCAATTGATAACTACAACATATTACCACCATTGCAAATGTCGCTATGATTTTTATTGTGAAGAATTACAACACAAATTCTTTTGATATAAACAAAAGACGGTGCCCCCTCTTTATAAAGAAAAATCTAAGACTCACAATTTAATAAAATTCCCAAAACTTCGTTTAAGTCGATAAGTGACTAAATCTATGCAGCATATTTTATTCGTTAGCGCATCAAACCCAACTTTTGTCCACTTTGATCCATAAACCCAAACAAAATGTATTTAGAGCATAGGGCTTAAGATCAAGTAGTTCATGAAACTTGTGGCTCTCATGCTCCATGGTTGCTTCCATCATGGTTGAGCAAAGTTCAAGAATGTAACTCTCAACAAAAAACAGCTTTAATTTGATGGATGGTGATGTGAACTATGGAAAGCTTTTATGTGATGGTAAGATTATTTAAAAATGTAGAAGTTATGTGTTTAGTTTAGTCTTACAACATATAGTTTAGTATTACATCAAATATATATATATATATATATATATTCAAAAAATACCAATTGTTTGGCCTTCTCCCATATATTTAAACTTATTGGGTCCAAAATGGTTTTGATCATTGCTGTAGTGACCCCAACTTTAACTCACCTTTGATCCCTAATTCCCTACTTCCAAATACATGCTAAGAAAATGTGTAAGAGAATCATTACACTCAACAAAGAATTCAATGCTTGGGTAGGTCACATCGCATCTATGGCTTTTTGACCCAGGTTGTGAAATTGAACCCAAAAAAAAAAAAAAAAATCCATTGGTTAAGTTTGCAAGCATGCTCATTTATTGAGCAAGTTGATTGATTAGAGACAGATAACATGCTTGTTTTATTATCTATTTAGTAAATTAATGGCTATCTTGACTAAGGCACATTTGTGCAGATATAAAGGTAATGGAAATTTCCAGTTAGTTCCAGATCTTCAGGACATCTAATTATAGAAAAATCATCTAAGCAAAACATGAAAAGCATGCCCATAGCCATAGAAGTTGGGTATGAAGTACCTGTTGGGCTTCTTTATGCAACTCTTCTTTCACCACTCCAGGGGCCTCATTCTCTGGAATTGAATCAAGAGCCAATCTCATCTGTTTTCTCTTCCGAATGCCAAGCTGTAATGTTTTGGTCAAAATAATAGCAGAGCCCGAGAAACTACCTGCAACATAGACCTCAATTGTCGGCAATGTCGCCTCTGGACTCATATACTGCTTACCCTTCAAAAAGAATGATCCATCAGACATTACAGGCTGGCACTTCATACTCCACTTCATTGCCCCCTTTTTGGGCTCTCCTGTTGAGTAAGTGCTCTTCAATAGCTCCAAAACCCCTGACAACAACAGATTTTCACTATCATGGACCTCAAATCTTACATTTCCTGACATCCTTATACTATCTGTGCTCACAAAAATAATTTCTTCTGCTTTCTTATCGACTCTGTCCCTTCTAAGGATTGATGAAACAAATTCAGTGCTGATGCCACTTCTTCTGCCATTAACTTCAAGAACGGTGTCCGGAGTAAGTGGGATATGATAAAGTGTGAGATGCTCTGGAGCTGATTCACTTGCAAAACAATTGCTCAATCTCACATAGAAAACCTTCAAATCAAGCCATGCTGATGACCTGGGAATGTATAGAGGGTGCATGATGATGTTTCGTCCAGGACTAGTTGAACTCTCCTGATCTGTGGGATTACAAGAGCCCATCGAAGGAAAGGAATTCACTAGCAATTAATCTTCTTACTGGTCAATTGATGAGTAGAAAGATTGAAGTTGATAGGGAAGAACTACAGTGGGAGTAGAGTTCTGCATAAAATGTTGGAAACAGTTAGTAATCTCCAACAAGCAAACTAGAGCTTCTAAACTGATAAGTAGAAAAGATTTTGCATAAATATGTTTGTATAGTACGCATTAGAGGCCCTAACATCAAATATAAATCAGCAGCAGAAAGTAAATGAAAATTTTGAACTAGTTGTACAGCAAGCTCTCATCATCGGCCTTATCGGAAAACTACAAGGATTTGGCAAGAAAACATCAAGAAGACAACTTTTTTTGGAATTTCTTTCCTATGAAAACTGTTAGCCATACGAAAATCTAGAATCCGAATAGATCACTACCACTAAGCTTCTGTATATGAGAACCTAGCACTAGAAACGCCGTTTTTAATCGAAGCAAATAGCATCTTTTTCCAAACCTTCATCCAACAAGAAGCCTAATTCGATAAGAAAAACTGAAAAAAAAATAAATAAAATATAAAAAAATTAGGTTATAACAGTAGGGCTGCCAAAGAATAGAACCGAGAAAAGTGGAAAGAAAGCCCTACAAAATCCCAAATTGAGCATAACAGGCAATCATACACACAGGGAAAGGCTTATTCTCCCCCAATACCATAATCAAAACAAAGCCTCGTTTCCATTTCGAAATCTCAATAAAGAAACCCTAGCTGCAGGAAGGTACTTCACACCTCCAGAAGATTAGAAGAAAGCAAAAACCTACTACCAGGAAGGTTCGCACTTCCAGAAGACAAACAAAACGCAAATTTTGAAGACAACCAATCGATCCACAAGGAACCGCATCAACAAAACACTACAGAATATGCTAAACAACAGTGAAATATCAAAGACAAAATTCCCCAGCTAAAAAATTGAAAGAAAAAAACAGCATAAGTGCTAAGAAGAACCTCCACAAGCCACCGTCCTTACAGTTGCATTGGGTAAACTCGGTCGCCATAAAATGCAGACCACCAAAGATCATGTTCTTCGTCGACTACTAATCAAAATAAATATGGTCTAGAAAAAAAACGAGCATAAAATATTCGACGAAATACCGCAGCCACAAAGTACAAAACAACGGCTCACCGGACAAATTACTCTCTGTTACAAGGTGGCGCTGGCTCCGCCCGTCGCTTTCTCCCCGCGTAGAGATGAGCTGAAAGCTAGCTATAAAATAATGCGAACTGAATCTCTTGGCCACGTTTGTTGATCTAACTCTTACAATCACCCTCCGTCGCTCCTCCCTCCCTCGTTCTTATCGTCGGAAAAAGAAGATGAGGAAACACCCACCGGGTCCTCCTACACACGCTTTAACTTATATAATTAATACACAAAATTTTATTATTTAATATTTATACCATCTAACACTTCATTAATTTTATTACTAAGATTTTATTTGAAATAATTTTTTTGGTGCAGATATTTTTTTAAAAATGGCAACAAAAAAAAATGATAAAAAAATGTACCAAAAGGAACCTAACTTTGAAGACCTAGCATCATTATCCCACCAATTAGGGGTGTCAATATTGGACGCCATCCAAAAATCCGACCTGTTTGCCAAATTGGGTCGAGTTCGGGTTGACCCGGCAACTCGGGAATGACCCGGAATGACCCTGAAATCTGCCTTGCCCGCTCTGCTTGAGACTGCCCGCCTGCCCAGCGGCCGCGCCTACCCCGGCTGCCCTGCGGCCCCGCCTACCCCAGCTGCCCCGCGACCTCTTGCCCTGGCTGTCCCGCCTGCTCCACATCCCACCATCGAGTTACGTCGCGTGACTGCTCGGGTTAGCGGGTCGCATCATGCCCTCGAGTCGACGCTTGCATCAAGCTCGTTGCCTCGCCGGCACTGCCGTTGCTGCACCGCTACTACTGTCGCATTGCGTGCACCGTGCTGGAACTCAGAAAAATCAAATTGAAACGGGTCGGATTCGGGTCTGAAAAATCGACATGTTAGCAAAAACGGGTCGAGTTGACCCGAACCCGAATAATATCGGGTCAGTACTAACCCGACCCGTGACCCGAAATTGACACCCCTACCACCAACACCATCTCCTAGCAAGCTAGATCGCACCTTTGAGCTCTCGCACGAGAAATTATTCTGTGCGGAGTCCGAACGGGAAGAATCGTTCAGACATTTGTACAAAGTGTGTATCAAATTCAGTGTACACACTGTTTGTACACAGTATGTATACTCACAATCTGGATGATTCTTCACGTCCAGACTCCGCACAACTTAATTTCTCCTCTCGCACACACCGTTGACGTAATTTCTCTACCCTCTACACCACTTAGATTCATCGATGTTGTCGGTCGACAGAGTGTGTCGAAGCCTCGAAGGTGATGGAACTAACAAGCATGACCATGAGGTTTAAGGATTTTAACGAAATGTTTTTTATTTTTATTTTAAATGCTATATATGTAAATATAAAAAAAAAAATTAGGTGTTTCATATGAATAAGTCCAACCCGAAAAATTGCGGAAAAGGATTAAAATTTTAATGGCAATTTCTCCGATAAATAAATAAAATTAAAAGGGATTAATTTCAATAACTAAATAAAATGTCTGTTTTTTTTTACTTTTTTTTAATTAAATTATAAAGGGGATTTATCTCAAATTTTCCTTCCATGGCAAATATTCTATAAGTAAATTATCAGCCCTAGACAAGAAACTTGGTTCTTTTTGGCTTTATTTAACATTCAATTTTTCTAAATATGAATACATTTCTATAAGAAATTGAAAAATTTTTAGTGGTAAAAAAGGTTTTATGTAATGATATTTTATTAATATTTAAATGTTTTTGGAAATAAACATCAACAAATAATAAACATTTAACCACAACTGATTTTTTTTAAAAAAAAATTATTAAATGTGTAATAAATTATTCTTTGAATACCAAATATCTATTAGCCGCGGAATAAAAATTTATGATGTGAGGAGGCGAAACAAAACATAAAAATGTATCGACGTATTTGCCCGAGACATGCTTGCTATATCATCCAAAATTGAATTTCATCGACAAGAATCTCGATGCATAGTTGAGTTGAATACTTTCATATCCAAATTCAGAAGTATCATAAATCTGATTTCAACAAACTTATAGTTGAAATAAATATATCAATAAGATAAACCTAACGACAAAAAAAATGATCCAATTTAAATTCCGAATGAATCCAAATGGTGCATTTAAAGCATTAAAAAAACTTTTAGATATTAATTGTATGACCAAATGATCTTCAAATCTCACATGCATATAATCAAATCTAGTGTTTCAACAAAATGAATAAAAGAAACCCTGACGTAATTAAGGCATCTAAATGTTGAAAGAATAGTATATGATCAAATGAATCAATATGAGTCATCTGATGAAGTGCCCTTGATTTTAACTATATGAGCATACCACTATCAAAATTTTGTCCTTTCACTCTCTACATGAAAGGTGGCTTGGTGGCCTTGATAATAGCTTGAGATTAAAGAGAGCTGAGAGACCTGAAGAAAATCGGAGCTCCACTTGAGCACCATCGCTCAACCACAGTTATCAAAAACCTCTCGCTCCAATTTGACTATAAATTTGTTGAAATCAAAGTTTGAATAGTTCCAAATTTAATTCTAAAAGCTTTCCATTGATATTTGCATCAAAATTCGTGCCCAAACAAGATAATTTCTCAATATGTAAATTTCTTGGACTTTAAAACTTGTGAAAATAATTGTAAAAGTCTGCATATAAGACTAAAGGTGTAACTTTATAAATGGCCAATAAACTAACCAGTCAAATCTGAACTAGCCTCAAATCATCAACTTGACTAATTTAAAAAATATTGATTGAAATATAAAATTATAAAAAATATTTAAAATTCTAATTTTCTTTTTATTTCAAATGATTTTTTATTTGATGTCTTATTCATTATATCATATTATTATAATTTATAATAAGTACTTGAATAAACATGAACTCCTCTCTTCCATTATAAATGAGAATCTTCAAATTAGTATAATTAATCATGAACTTAGACTCAATTAGTTAATCAAACACATGCTCAAGACAAAGGTAGCTCAAGCTCAAGCTCAAATCAACAATTAATTATTCAGTGCGGACACCGGACGGCTGGAGACGAATTAGAGCATATCATATCACTTTTTTGTTGTTTGCCAGTGCTATATACTGTTGTGTACAGAGTAACATGGCAGGCCCTCATTCATCTTCTGACGGTCCGACATTTGCACAGAATAATTTCTTCAACTCAACACATGTCTACCTCTAGCTAGGGTAAAATATTTAGTGGGTGCATGAAAATATGGTGATAAGATTTCTTTTGTTTTCTGTGGTCCATCTATATAACTATATTTTGAAATGTGTCCCGTCATTTTCAAACAGATTTTAGGCAATTTTGCTCGGCACATTTAATTTATGCCTTTCAACCACCACGGGTTGTCTTGGTGGTGAAGAACTGGCTGGCCATAGGCCAGGTACCGAGTTCGAATCCCATGGCAATTCGTGAAAAGCCTTAAGTGTTGGCCCGGATGTGTATGGGGTGGGTTGTCCGCTAGGTCGACTGGAGAGATTAGTGGCCGAAGGCCGATACTCCCTGTCCCAAAAAAAAAAAAAAAATTTATGCCTTTCATTGCCATATCAACCGTTGAACAACATATAAAGATATTTCAATTTTTTTTTTAAAAAAGCAGAACAATAATAATTAAATTATTGATAATGTTAATATATAGAACCACTTGACAAAAGTAATACAAGTTGGATTTTTATTTATTGTTCAATGCGTTATGAATATTCATTGCCTCAGATGCTGTAATATTTGACCTACTTTAGAAAAGCCAGTTTATGAAAGCGATGCGATCCTCATCCTTTTCTTTCATATCTTCATTTTAATTTTCAAAAAATATTTAGAATTTCATCAATACCGCTAATCAGTATTCTGTTTTCTGTATTTCTGCTGATTTGGGGAAGAATAATATTTCTCATATCCTAAAGCATTACAAGAAAAGGAAAAATTATTAGGGAGAAGAGTTTGCGGACAATTTTGTTACTGATTTATTTTTTATTTTGCCACAATTTTTTAAATTAATTTCAGAACATTTTTATTACAACTTAAAAAAAAATTCTTTTTCCACAATTTTACAACCACTTTTATAAAAGTTGCGACCATTACAAACATGATAAAAATTTCTTGAAAACAATGCAAAACACAATATCCAAAAAGTTGTTCCAAACAATGCCTAATTTAAAAAGAGCTCAAAATTAAATAAAGAAATAGGTTCAAGAGATCGAGATACATTAAAACCCATTAAGGTGTAAATGAGTCGAGTTAAACTGAGTTGTGGATTAACCGAACTCGACTTGTCAGTCAGAAAATCAGCTCGAACTCGAGCTCAAAAGGCAAGCTTGAACTCGAGCTCATCCCACTATAAAAGAGCTCGAGCTGCTCGCGAGCGACCGACAATCTGTGCCGCCTTCTGCAAACAAGCGAGCCTCCGCAAATCTCCGCCTTCCGAGTTCCGAGGTCCAACAGCTACAATTCGCCTCATTCCGCAAATTCACAAGCAGGAATTTAAAAACCATAGGCAATATTTTTTATAGTGCATGCGAGATTTTTAAGTTTAATAAAAAAATAAAAATTATTTCAAAAATATTAATAATGATTCAAGATGGCTCGTGAGCTCACGAGCCGAGCCTCATCAAGCTCGAGCTCGAGCCGGCTCAGGCCCACTTACACCCCTAAACCCCATAATCCCTCTTATCAGCACAACTAAATATTTACTTACGAATCAACCAATAATTAATTCATTTATACTACCTACCCATCAGATATATACAGAAATATAGAAAAATAGCTAACTGTAAGCTCAACAATCAACAAGCCTGGAGTCCATTTCAAACAAACTCTTTTTTTTTTTTCTTTTTTTCAAGAGTTCAAATCTAGAAATAAATAAATACGAAGCTTCATACAAAGTTCAAAAGCATGTGAAATATTCGGTAATTAGTCCAATCTCCACTGGTTTCAGACGGCAAGATCAATATTTTGTTCTCCAAAGTCAATAAAAACAAGCCCGAGGAATATGGTTAAAAAATAGAGTAATCTATGGGAACTTAGTTAGTAGGCCACCAACCTTACAAGTAGTTTTATTTGAGGGAAAAAAATACTACCACTTGAATAAAATGATATCTAAAAAATCTAAATGAAAGAAGAGAAGACATAATCGAAGCAAATATGATACACTTAGCTGGAAAAATGAGAGAGAGAACAT